TCCCTTCCCGGTAAACGGCCATGGCGATTCCCTTGGTGGGGATCTCATCCACGTAAAAGCTGACGGCGTCTCCCACTTTTACGGGAAGCGCCTCTTCCTCGGCCTCCTTGGGCTTCCCATTCCCGGAATTCTCACCCGCGCCGGGATCGAACTGGATCTTGCTGAAGGGCAGGAAGATCCCGCAGTTCTTCCGGCACTGGAAGAACTCGGTGCCGTGGTAGGAGCCGTCGCTTCGCCCGCGGTTTTCCCCTTCCCCCTGGAAAATAGGATGGGAAGGGATGTCACGCTCAAAAATATCATGGAATTTCCTTGGAAGGGAGATCCCACAGTTCCTCTGGCACTGGAAGAACTCGGTGCCGTGATGGGATCCGTTCCTTATCCCTGTTTTCCCCCTTTCCCTGGAAACAGAAAGGGATGTCACACACACACAGATATGATGGAAAAATAAGGAATTTCCTTGGAAGGGAGATCCCACAGTTCCTCCAGCACTGGAAGAACTCAGTGCCATGATGGGATCCATCGCTTCTCCCTGTTTTCCCCTTTCCCTGGACACAGAAAGGGATGTCACACACACAGATATGATGGAAAAATAAGGAATTTCCTTGGAAGGAGATCCCACAGTTCCTCTGGCACTAGAAGAACACAGTGCCGTGATGGGATCTGCTGCTTCTCCCTGTTTTCCCCCTTTTCCCTGGAACTGGAAAGGGATGTCACACACACACAGATATGATGGAAAAATAAGGAATTTCCTTGGCAGGAAGATCCCACAGTTCCTCCCGGCATTAGAAGAACTCGGTGCCGTGATGGGATCCATCATTTATCCCTGTTTTACCCCCTCTCCCTGGAAATGGAAAGGGATGACACACACAGAAATATGATGGAAAACCAAGGAATTTCCTGGGCAAAATAAACCATCCCCCAGTTCCTCCTGCACTGGAAGAACTCGGTGCCGTGATGGGATCCGTCGCTTCTCCCTGTTTTCCCCTTTTCCCTGGAAAACAGGCCAAAAAAAGATGTTGCACACACAGAAATATCATGGAAAAATAAGGAATTTCCTTGGAAGGGAGATCCCACAGTTCCTCCCGCACTGGAAGACCTCGGTACCATGATGGGATCTGCTGCTTCTCCCTGTTTTCTCCCTTTCCCAGGAAACAGAAAGGGATGTCACACCCAAAACCATCCCGGAAAACCCAGGAATTTTCCTTCCTGGCCACATTACCTGCAACTCCACCCCGAAGAACACCGGGGCCAGCACGGCCAAGCTGGGCTTGTAGATGCTCCCGACGTACCGGATCACCCCCGGGAAGAACTTCCGGTCGACCTCCACCATCACATTCCGGCCGGGAGCGGCTCCCAGCGCCGCTTCCAAGCTCAGCCTTTCCAGGAAGAAGCTCAGGCGTTCCTTGGGGTTGCCGATGGCCAGCAGGAAGCCGGCGGCTTCTTCCCGCAGGGGTTGCAGGATCCCGACGTTGACGGTGACACCGGAGCCGTCGTCCAGCACGACGACCTTCAGGAAGCACGTGGGGGGCCCGGCCTCGGAAAAATTCCGGAGGTAGCTGCGCTCGCTACAGAAGCACATGGTGCCAGCCTGGAAGTATTTGCTTCCGTAGGCACAGTCTTCCGTCAGGATGTAAAAGCAATTCCCGGACGCCGCCGCTGGAGGCGGGAGGTTGGTCATGGCAGCGCTTCCCTGGAGGTGGGAGAAACTGGGAGTCAACTTCTGGAATTCCGGAGGGAGCCGGGTCGGGAGGAACTGGGAGGTCACGGAGATGAAGAGAGGCAGGTGTTGGAGCAGAATTCCAGAAGGATCCGGGTCGGGAGAGGTCCCAGCCCCGAGTTGGGTGTTCAAAGCCTCGCCCGGTTGGGTCGGAGCGGCTCCGATGTCGGAGATCCCAAATCCTCCCTGCTCCCTTTTCCCAGTGTTTAATCACCCCCCCGGGGATCCAGAATTCCACCTAACCAGCTTTTCCATGGTCCTGCTTGTCCCAGTTTCCTCCCGGCCTCTCACTGGGTACCCATGGAAAAAAAATCCAGCTCTTCCTTCTCTCCTCGGGAAGAGAAGCAGAAAATCACGGAATGGGTTGGGAGGGACTTTAAGGATCATCTAATTCCAACTCCTGCCCCGGGCAGGGACACCTTGAACTAGTCCAGGTTGTTCCAAGCTCCATCCAGGCTGGAACAGGAACAATTCCAGGGATGAGGTGTCTCCTACAGCTCATCCGACCAGTTCAGCCGGAACGACCTCATTAAATTCCAGGTTTTCTTTCCTTGCTTACAAGAAGGAGGCAAAGGATAAACTCTGTCTTGGAAAATTCCATGGGAAGGGGATTCCTGGTCTGTCCCTCCAGCTCTTCTGTTTGTGTTACAGCTCATGAATATTCAAAAAACACGAATATTTTGAATATTCATGATATTCAAATCAGATGCAAAGCACCTCCCGAGGTACCAAATCCGCATCTTCCAGGATAAATATAGGAAAAGAAACACAAATGTTTGGGATCACGATGAGATTTGTTTTGGTGCTTGTTTTCCAGGGAAATTCTTGGGACTCCCAGAATTCCAGTAGCTAAAACCTGGCAATAAAAAAATCTGGGAAGTAAATTCAACTGCTGGAATTCCATCAGTGAAAATCTGGGAGTTAAATTCAACTGCTGGAATTCCACTGGTTAAATTCTGGGACTTTAATTCCAATAGTTCAATTCAGCAGGTAGAATTCCAGGAGTTAAATTCAACAGGTGGAATTCCAGGAGTTAAAACCTGGGAGTTAAATTCAACTACTGGAATTCCACTGGTTAAATGCTGGGAGTTAAATTCCAGGAGTTAAATTCAACAGGTGGAATTCCAGGAGTTAAAACCTGGGAGTTAAATTCAACTACTGGAATTCCACTGGTTAAATGCTGGGAGTTAAA